TCCATTCAAACCAGGTTTAAAGCCTTGCAGGGCAGCAGAAAGCCCACTGCCAACATTAAGACAGAAAAAAGGAAGAAAATAAGAAACTGTCAGTTTAGGTGTTTTATAAAATATGTGAATCAGGAAATTGTCTTAATACCAAACTGAACGATTGTTGTTTTCTATTTAAGGAGGCAGACTGAAAACAAAGAGCAACACGGTCTGTTTCTGCTCTGAGAAAACTTTTATATTTTATAAACAGGATGTCACAAACCTAAACTTCCCCACATCTACTTATCTAGATGTATTTGCACAACTAAAAACCAGAACTAATAAATCAACAGGTCACATCTTTGTTCCCTCCAGTCTGCAGATAATATGGCCCTGCAGAGGACAGTGAAGGGAACAGGGAAGGTCACTACAGTTTGTAAATAAACCCCTGATAGGTGCCGCCCAGTCTCATTACAGGCAAACATTTGATATTAATAATCTAAAATATTGTTCATTTCAGGGACATGGCGTTTATTATTTCTTGATAGTTGGGGGAGTTTAAGTGATAAGCCAGTGGGGGCTGGGTCTTTAAAGCATTTAATGAATTGGTCCCTCTCTGATTTAATCCCCTGCTGACCTTGGAGGTCACCGTTTAGAAGCGTGAACTCACCAGCTCCTTGAACTTGAACAGTCCCTGCCCTGGTTCCGCCTCCTTGTCTGCTGCTGTGGAGCCACCAGGAGCCTCCTCGCTCTTTCTGCTGCAGAGTCCCCGGGCTGCGGGGAGCAGCAGCGGTCTCGGTCCGGCCGCTGACCTCCCAAACCCTCTCTGGTTCGCCACTCCCGACCGTTTCACCGCCTGGAAGAAGCACGAGCCCCGATGCTCGGTCCATTTCAGGTCGGAGAGCCACGAGCCGCTGAGGCGAGGCTGCGTGAACCTCAGGCTCGCCGTGCCAGGTGGTTGTCCGAGCCGCCATAGTGCGGGCGCGAGCTGGCACACACGCGCGCAGCGCTCAGGGATGTTAGCTGCTCTGAGAAACAGCGGAGCGGAAATCCGACCCAAACACGTTCTTATCATCCTCTACAGACTCGCATTACTGACCGACTGCCCGTGTGTTTCCCCCCCGACTGACCATCATTACAGAGTAACACCGCAACTCTGCGAGAGCAAGAAAGCTGCCATGTTACCGGAAAGCCGAAAACAGATACGACACACGATGTCGTAAAATATTTGAGCTGGATTTAAATGAGTGGGGGCTAAATCCCAAACCGTCCACTAAGCACTACCCCTTTAATGACCAACGCTACCCTCAATGAAGTCACACTCAGAGGAGGAGGGCGCCTTGGTTGAAAGTAAGGGGCATGTGAAAGGCGCACTCTTCCTATTCTTCCAGCGGAAAAGTAAAGCAGTTGTTGCCATGGCAAAAGACACGCCCCTAATGCTTGACCCCGCATCGACAGCTTTTAGCACTGACGTGATTTGGTGGCGCCATCTTGGGGCGGTCAACAGCTCCGCTCAGTGTAGGAACCATAGAGGAACAGGATCAGTTTTAATCAAGTTTAACTCTCTGAATATCGAACTAATTTTCACAGTTTAGTTTTTTTTCTAAAAACACAAAAATACTTCAGTTTATTTAAATATTCTTAGTGTTTTTTTATTACTATATACGGAAACATATTTATACAGGTATCCTCAAATGTATATACACATATCTGTCACTCATATTATATATGCATCTCTCTCTCCATATATATACATACATAAATAAATATACATAAACATATACTTATACATATATATACTGTAAAAAATATTGTTAATACTGTAAAAATGTCCACCGCCGTATTACTATTTTTCAGATGAACAGTATTCATATGTTTTGGCTTCTTTATTTATTTATTTATAGTGTTTTATGTTGTATTTATTTATTTTTAACGACTTTGGTCAGCTGTGTCTTTTTTAACTGCTTAACAAATAAAATTGAATTGTATTTTAAAATTATTTTATTTTTTTTTTTTACCTGTCACGTATTCTATTATTTTTATGCACTTTATAAGGTCCAAATTTGTGTGACCACTTTTGCTGTAGTCATTTGTTACTGGAACGCCACAATTTCCCCACTGTGGGACAACAGAGGGAGTTTCTATTCTATGTAGTGTATATCTGCTGTTTATTTAGTAACGTCTTCCAAAGCTCTGATGCCTCCATGCAGTTACCCCTCTAGGTCTGATGTTAACAGCCTGTTGATTTAGAAAAAAATCCGTCAGTGTGCTGAGGCATCCTTCTTCTTCTTTTCTGCTTAAAGCAGCAGGTTAGGATAGCAGATCGACCTCCCCAAGATGACACCCCTAATTCCTGCGCCGCGACAGAATGTAAGGTCTACTCCGCCAGGTTCTTCTTCTTCTTTAAAATTGTTGGTGGTTGGCAAACAACGAATATATGAATTTCCACCATCTACTGGTATGGACGTGGACCAGAATGACTCTCAGAAATTTCTATTTTATTATACAAATGTGATTTTTTTTTTAGATATCAAAATATTATCCTGCAAATGTTACTTTCTGAAAAGCCTCTAAATAATTCAAATAAATCTTATTTATCTTTTAATTTACTTACATTTTTAATAAATTGCTTTCTCTCTTCATATTTATTACAGTACATCACATGTTCAGTTGTTCCATCTACCCCACAGTATTCACATTTACCATGTTTCCCCAATATAAACAGAGTGCTGTTTAATCGGGTATGACCAAATCACAACCGAAAAATAATTGTTTCTCCTCTTCTAGTTCTTCCAGTTCCCATTTCTCCTGTTTTCTTTTGAATTTTGTAAAACCAACATCCTTTTTTCCTTTCTCCCATTCCTTTTGCCATTTATCCATCATTTTCTGTTTAATTAACATTTTCACTTAAACTTTACTGAAATTAATTCATTTAGCTCTATTGTAAAGCTGTCAGATTTGAAGGCTAAAGAACAGATTAAATGCCCATGCATGCAATTAGGAAAATAAATACTACAGCATTAACAGACATGTACTTGTAATTCAGTCTTGATGTAAAATCTTTTAGCACTTTTGGCACATCTGTATTATTCTGCTCCATTAACACATTCATTTTATTGTGATCGATTTGTATAATATGTTATATTACATGATTTATAGACTATGCAATGTAATGTGCCTATTTTTTTATTATAAGTTAAAGTAATCTACTGATGCTATGAAACAGCCAGTTTGTGTCAAAGTAATGAATTTATCTTTATTTTAAAATTCCCCCTGAAAATGAGATAATCATTGTTGTTCGATGCTGTAGCGCACATGCAGTCATATAAAAAAGTTTGGGCACCCCTATTAATCTTAAATATTTTTATTTCTAAATATTTGGGTGTTTGCAATAGCTATTTCAGTTTAATATATCTAATAACTGATGGACACAGTAATATTTCAGTATTGAATTGGGGTTTATTGGACTAACAGAAAATGTGCAATATGCATTAAAACAAAACTTGACAGGTGCAAAAATTTAGGTACCCAAATCACTTCATTGATTTGAATACCCTTAACTACTTTTCACTGACTTACTAAAACATAAAACTGGTTTGGTAAGTTTCATTAAGATTTGAACTTCATAGCCAGGTGTATCCAGTCATGAGAAAATGTATTTAATGTGGCAGGTTCCAAGTTGTTCTCCTGTTTGAATCTCCTCTGAAGATTGATCATGGGGGCCTTAAAACAACTCTCAAATGATCTGAAAACAGACTGTTAAACATAGTCGTTCAGAGGAAGGATACAAAAAGTTGTCTCAGAGAGAAAGCTGAGAAGCCCATACACCCAAATATTTAGAAATAAAAATAATTAAGATTAATACGGGTGCCCAAACTTTTTCATATGACTGTATTGTTTACATTTCGACCGATCTAACTAGGGAGTACCAATCATAGAACCAATAGTTCACTACCAAAGGGCAATCCAGTGAATAAATAGAGATCAGTGGTTGTAAGGCACAATGATTGCTGGTGAAACCTTCAACCTTACCTTACTGAAAGAAAACTCAATCTTATTTTATTAATTATGTAAATCTTTCACGTACAGCTATAATAATTACGTTATAAATATAGTATAATTACAAAAAATGCTTAATGATAGTTATAAAATTCCATTTCGTTTAATAGAATAAATAAAACAGTGGATACAGAAAGACAATAGCTTATAAGTTAAATGCTTTTATTTGGATTATGTTGTTTTCATATATAAAATTAAGCCAAACAGACACAATATTTATACACATAAAGAGAAAATTAATCAACACTATATACAGGGACTAACCGTTTGATTAAAGGTAATTCTTTAAGGTCACCTGAAGGAGAAATATAACAAACACTGAGCTTAAGACAGAAACTATTTGACAAAGTGTTTTTGAGTCAGTGTATTACTTTCAGTGTTACATTTTAATGAGATCATCAACATTCAAACTTCTAGTTAAAAAAGACTCTTATATCCCAGAGAGTATTTACTCTTTATGTGCATCTGGAGATAACTGAGTGAAGTCTGTTTCTAGCAGTTAGATGGTCTGCAGTTGGTACAACTTGGGCCCTTTCTTCAGCAGGAAACCTTGTTCATTGAGGGAACTCAGCAGACCTTGAAAATCCAAAACCTTGAAAATGAAAAACACCAAACATATTAAGGACTGTGTCAACTGCTAGGATCATATTTGCAGCTTTTTTTTTTTTACCTTTATGTTCATTTTGTCAGCAATTGAGCGAAGCATCTGCAGGTCAAACTGCTTCTGATTGGTCCGCTGAGCGTGTGAGTGGAGCGCGTTGACCAGTCGCTTTGCAGCGCTGCGCTGACTCATGCCGGAGCCCAGCTGTGAGCGCTCAAAGTCCAGGTTCCCCAGGCCGTCTGAGTACGTATCAGCCAGGCTAAAGACAATGCAAAATGAAAGGTTTGAACACTTTAAACCTGAACATGTGCTCAGTTCAGGTGTTTTATAAAATATGGGAATCAGGAAATTGTCTATATACCAAACTGAATGATTGTTCTTCTCTACTTCATAAAACATTTTAGATTTTAAAATGGAAAAATTTTCTAATATTATTTTTATATCTTTTTTATTTGAAAATTAAATGTATAACATGGATGCATAAAATCCTCATTTTATTTCAGGGTTAAATTCTTTTTAAAGTAATAGATTAAATAATTAAAAATGTCTCCGGCGCGTTACTAATTGATGATTGTCTTTATTCGAACCCAGCTGATTTTTAATTGGTTACCCCTGATGTAAGTAATAGCAGAAGAAAAAAAAAAAGGAAAGATATCTTTGTAAAATAAATATAAAATACAACCCTTCTTAAACAAATCCCTTAAACATTTTTTTACGGCAAATCCAGAAACTTGAAAATATATGGAGTGAATTTTATTCAATTATTTTTGCAAGCAAATAACATGTTTTGTGAGGGAAAATTTGTAAAGACACATTTTATGAATTCAAATTTGAAAAAACATGAAAAACGAAAATAAAACTTTGAAAAACTGTTTTAATAAAAAAGATGTTGATATTTACAATGATTTTTATTTTCATACAAAATAATTTGCACAATTTTATATATATATTGTTTTTCTTTCTTTCTTTCTTTATTTTTATTTTTTTACAGATTTTACATTTGTATCTTTTTCTAAATTAGTTTTTCAGATTAAGTTTTATAACTGCTAAACTGCTTTTCATGGATTCTTCATCTTAAACCCAATAAAAACAGTCACTCTTGACGAGCAGATTGACCAATAAAATGCTGTTGCCAACACCCATTATGGACCAATAGAATTGCATCTTCATTCCTCACTCCAGAGGTAAGCCCGCCCCCCAGACGTGAATAAAACGGTTTGGTTCATTCAATGCACCTGAAACTTCTTTAAAGAGCTAAATATAAACATCTAAAAGTCTGGTCTCTCCATTTCCTGAATAACAGTCCTGCAGAGCTACCTGTGCTTCATGATCTCAACGACGTCCTCAGCATCATCTTTGGTGGCCACTTCTCTAAGCTCTAATTTGGCTCTTGCCTACAAGAGAAAGAAAAACAGAAGACATCCAGGAAGTAAGTTCAGGTTTAACGTCTTCGCTAAACATCTTAAGGCAAAGGACCCCACCTCAGTCAGTCTTATTAAGGACTCCAGCTGCCGCGTGGTGATGGGTGTGGCGTCGGCGGAGTGCGCCTGGGACCTCAGAGACAGATAGAAGTCCTGAAGAGTTTTGGCTGCTTCGGGAGACAGCGTGGGTTTGACGTACTGACGGGCGTAGCTGATGTACTTCCTTAACAAACACGCTGGGATCACATCCATCGATTCATTTCCTGGAACCTTGAGATGAAATCAAAATAAGACAAACCTCAATAAAATGTGTGATAGCACCTAGAAATGTTACGGTGTCAGTACAGTTCTGCTTTCATGCTTAGTGTTTACATTTGTTCAACATATGATAAAGAGATGATATCATATTCCTCTCTTAAAAGAAGTCAGAGCTTCAAATACTGTGGGGTCAGCTTCATCCATCCTGGTATTTTTAACTAGGCCTGTCACCATTTTCCTAGAAATATCGCCGTAAACTATAATATTGTTTTGGGACCATTCTTAACTTACATAATAATGACAAAATAATGTGAGTACACTCTTTAAAAGGTCAATAACTTTTATCTTTTTAATGACGCTGGAGCTGGAGGCCATTTTTAAATAACCAAAATAAATAAACATGACATTGGTCTCCTTAATTATCCCATCTTTTGTGCTGGAAATCTATCTATCTCACCATAAAATTTAAATGTTTAATTGAAAATAAAAAAAAGGTAAATGACAAAGAAAACAGAACAAAAGTTTGACTTAAACTTAAGTAATAATCTCGGATAGCTCAGTCAGTTGGCGCTCTAATCCAATCACTTCTTAATCTCCATTTAAAGCAGCTGAGCGTTAGCTCCACCAAATTAAAGCCTAAAGTGTTAAATTAAACATAGAACTAGGGCTGCACCTAAAAATTATTTTGCAAAATGATTAAATTGTCACTTTTTCAATTAATCAATGAATAATCAGATAGCCAAAGGTTACTTGAAGATTTTTTTTAAATGAAACTAAAATGTTTCTGCTTGTGGAGTTCTAGATAGAGCATGCTGACAGAGGAAAAGCTTTTCTTTTTTAACTTCAATTCAAAATCTTT